CTCATCCAAACAAAGTGTTAATTTAGAACCACTAGTCCTAAAACAAGATAGGATTCTTATGGTCAAACTTTCTTTAAAAACACAGTTATACATAAACAAGGGTAATGGACAAGGTTATGTGAAGGGACTAAAGGGCATCATTTCCAACTGCACAAGAATGAAGCTGAATAAGGGGATGGGAGGTGTTTCTGTGGAAGAGCATTTGCCTAGCAAGTAAGACAGACAGAAAGACAGACAGACAAGACACACACACACACACACACACACACACACACACACACACAAACACACATGCACTCTCGAGCATGCGTGTGCAGGGGGCAACGCCAAGGGATGGGACAAAAGAGACGCCAAATACTGACCACCTTCTATGTTCATCAGAAAACTGAAGACACAGGGCAAATGGTCATCCTAAAAGTTAGGGAAACACATAAACAGGAGGATCAGACATACGGCTGGAGCCAATGACCTATGGTGGCACTAAACAATAACCCACACACCCTTACACACCCATACAATATATGTTTAAAAAGAGATCTACTAAGGAAACAAAGAAATGGAAGCCATGAAATCTATAGACATAACAAATATTAAATACCAACCAACTCCTAGTCAGATAAAGGAGGACTGCAGGCTAAAAGTCTGTTCCTTTGGTTTTTTAAAAATATTTTATTAAATTATTTTATATGCAGATTTGTCTGTGTGAGGGTGTTGGATCCCCTGGAACTGGAGTTACAGACAGTTGTGGGCTGCATGTGGGTACTGGAAGTTGAACCCAGGTCCTCTGGAAGGACAGCCAGTGCTCTTAGCGACTGAGCCATTTCTCCAGTCTTCCCTTTGGTTGGTTCTTATTAGCTGAGATATGGCTGACCTTTAACCAAAACTTAAAACTTGCCAAATGAAACAAACAAACAAACATACATACAAACATGGCACGTACATTGGATTCTCCATAAAGGTGTACACACCTAACAAAGTATCAAAAATTTAACAGGCAAAAAATGGATGGGCACTATATATATAGAGAAGCAGATATCGCCAAGAGCATAGCTGGGCACGTTAACACACCTACTAGTAAGTGACCCATAGAACAGGCAGAAGACCAGTAAAGAAAAAAAAAACTGAACCAGGCAGCAGTGTCAATCATTTGGACCTAATTAACATGTATAGAATATTTCATCCAATGATACTCTTATCAATCTCCCATGAGACAACCACATGTTATAATACATTCATTATGATAATACACTCTCCAGTAAATGAAAAAGAACAGAAACACAGAGATATATTGTCAGATTACATGGAGGTAACTGTGTGTGTCAACATCACAGAACCTAAAGTCACTTGAGAAATGAACTCGTAAGCACGTCTATGGGGGATCAGCTTGATTGACATTAACTGAGGTGGGATGACCTGCCCACTGTGATTTGAATCCTGGACTACACAAGAAAGAGAAAACTAGCTGAGTCCAGACACACACTAGCTGCTTCTCTGCTTCCTCTATAACTGTGGATATAATGTGAGAAACTGCTACAGCTCAGCTGCTTTGACTTCACTGCCATGAGGGACTGTGCCCTCCAACCCTAGGCCAGGTAAACACCCTCCCTTAAGTTGCTTCTGTCAACACACTGTATCACAGCAATAGGAAGAGAAATTAAGACAACTTGTAAACAAATTAAGAGCTGCTAAAAAACATTTGGAATTAAATGATATTCTTTAATATTCTGAACTAAATGAAAATAAAACTTTAAACTTTAAGAAATAAAAAAGTAACTTAGAAAGACCAAATGAACGCTTTTATCAGTAAGATCTAAAATCAGTAAGTTAAGCATCTGTTCTAAGAAACTAGAAAAAGCAAATAGAAGAAAGTAAATTTAAAAAGTCATACCAGACATAAATGAAATTGAATAAAGGAAGTCAATGGGGGCGTGAAAATAGAAAGGTTTGTTTTGTATCTTTAGTTTGTACTTACTGAAAAGCTCAATAAAGTTCATAAAACTCTAGCTAGCAATAAGAAAAAAAAGATATAAATCACTAATATTAGAAATGAAGTATAACAAAGATTGGGCAATGAGATTGCTCGGGGGATGAAGGCTTATGCTGCCAAGAGTGATGACCTGAATTCAATGTCTCAAACACACATGATGGAGAGAACCACCTTTTGTTAAGTTGCCATCTCACCTTCATACACATTTCGTAGAATGTGTTCATGTGTGCATATACACAAACAAATGTATTAAGTTAAAGACTGCAACATAAGGTATTATGCGTCTATATTCACAAATGACAAATAGTTATCTTTGAAATAATTTTGCCACGACTCAAGGAGGAGAAACAGGTGGCCTGAATAAGCATATAATTACTAGAGAAATTAAATCAATAACCAACAAAGAAAAAAAAAACAGGACAAGATGGTTTCATTAGTGGATTCTACTTAACATTTAAGAAAGAAATACCCCCATGGGCTACAATAATGTCTGGCATGGCAAGACGGCAAGACACGCCCACTGACACAATAGTGGCATGGATATCATAGTAATAACCACTACTTTCTGCTTGAGTTTAAATCCTGTTTCACAAGATGAAACATATACTGGCACCATTGTTGGCTAAGAACCTGTGGCTAGATAGGTTATAGGCTCTAGAAGTGAAACTACTACTATTGGACACAGTAATAACTGTTGCTATGCTGCCAACAGAACTAGAAAATGGTCTCTTCAGAGCACTTCAAGTATAGTTTATTTGTTTTGGGGTATGTATCCCCAAGAGTCCCAAGTATTTTTGTATTTGTACTTCTTACCACAAGAACCCTACACTAAGAAAACACTTGATAAGTATTTACAGACTCAGGCTGAATTTATTTAATGAGAATTTAAAAAATGATAGCCTGAAAAAAGTAACAAGCTTTAAGAAGCATCACTGAATCTGTCTGTCTTATTCAGAAAAAAGAGTAGTATGTCATTAAGCTACATAACATGGATCATATTAATTGTTGTTGTTGTTCATACATTCTAAGAACTTCAACTAAAGCAGTTACTCTTAAACTTCTTTTATTCCCCCAAGGACTGAACCCAAGGCCTAAAATGTTTTACCACTGAGTAAATCCCCAATCCCATTCTTAAATTCTTAAAAAGTCAACAGCTTTAATAGACTACCTACTCTGTCAGCTATTCTTTACCACTAGAACACAGAAAAACAAAAACTCACAACAAATGGATATAAAGTAGACACTAGTGACCAAAGTATCACATTAACTTACAACATAAACTAGGATGACAACAACAACAACAATAATGAAAGAAGGGGCTGGAGGTATAGCCCAATGGCACAGCCTTTGTTTAGCATGTGAGGCCCCAAGTCCCATCTCTATCAAAGCAGAAAGAGACAAAAATGGTCAGTTTCAATGAATAAAATAAATAACCAGACAACCTAAATAGTTTCTCAGGGATTTTACATTATGATCAAGTACACATACATACAGAAGTAGAAACAATTCTTACCCTAACACGATGAATCTGTATTTTATTCTCTTTTTAATTGAAAAGAAAAAGCAAAAATCAAAAAACCACCAGTCAAGATGCACTAAAATGATATCATGTACCACTGCTGTGTTGAGATTTAAGTTTGATAAGCACTGGCTTTGAATGCTATTAATAATCCCCAGGCTAGGGACATAAGATAGCTCATGATATCAAAATCCTTCACATAAAATTAACAACACACAATTCTCTCTAATAAATAGAGCTAATATAAATTTTGTAAGCTATAAAAATGGAATCTCTGTTCTCTAAGACATGAAAATGACTTTGCCTATTACAGTAAGTATTCAAGGCTTAGAGGTTTCAAGTTATTCAAAGCAAAGGGTCTTGGCTCAGCTCTGTGGATGGAAAGAAACATTCAATTTTAGCCAGCATCTTAGTCTAAGACTGCTTTAACTACAGAAGCTTAGTTCCAGCTCTTGCTTAGCACATTCAAAGCCCTATGCTCCACACCCAGCATCTATAAGAAACAAAGTGAGGTCAGTCCTGGGGCAGTAAGATGGCTCAATGCACAAAATGCTTGCTGCACAAAACCAAGGAGACTGTAACACTAGCACTCTGAAGAGTTCACAGGTGGACTGAAGGGGTACTCTGGCCAATCAGCTTAATCAGTATGTGAGTTCCTGATTCACACCTAGGCACCATGCATGGACTGTGTGTGTGTAATCCACTTGTGCGCTCGCTCGCTCTCGCAAGGACACACACACACACACACACACACACACACACACACACACAAAGTAAGTTCAGTTCTATTTGCTATTCATATTACTGAATTATTAAATGGCATGACTTCTAAAACAATTTTCAAAATTAAAGACAAAATTGATTTCCTAAATGATATTACTTCTAAACTTTTCCAGCAATTTTATATCTGTCACTGTTCTCTTAAAAAACACTTAATCAAATTTTGCTTTTCTTTTCTTTGAGATAGATCTTACAATGAAGCACAGGCTGGCCTTAAACCCATAGCAATCCTATTACCTCAGTCTCCCAAGTGCTGGGATTAGAAGCACTAACGACTAACTCTTCAGTCTATAATGTTTTGTTTTTGTTGTTGTTGTTGTTTGTTTGTTTTAAATAGTTTCATTATGCAGCTTTGGTTGGCCTGGAATTTGCTATGTAGACCAGGACCCGTTTCTGCTTTCTGAGTACTGAGAATAAAAGTTGTACCACTATGCCTCGATTAAAATCAGGTTATCAACTGGTTAAAAATTAATGCCCAGACACATTCCTTTCTCGCATTAAACAGTACAGTTCTTCCAACCATTGATACAGATTTTTCAGCTGAAGCATGTCACTTGTTCCATGTAAGTTTAACTCACAACATAAAAGACTTTTCATTAAAAGTTACTGGTTTCAGAAAAATAAATTTCATAAATGATATACGACAGAAATTTAAATATGAAAGCACTCTAAAACAAAGAACACTTGGGTATGACAAATAAAACAGCCATTTACTTTTTACAAGACTGCCATAGACACATGAAGTTCTGCCCAGGTTTTCTCACTGGATCTGCATGCTGACTCGATGCACTGAGTGGAGAAGGCTGAGAACTGTTAGGCTGGCCCTGCACTTGTACAGCTGGTGATGGTGGCACAGGAGTGTTCTGTAGAAAAGCACAAATACAGTTTGGGACATGACACTGAAAAACATCATTTTAGTCTAGAAGTTCATTAATAACAGCTATGCATTTGTAACAAAATATACATTTTCTAATTTTAAGTTAATGATTATATTTAAAGGGTGATTTTTTAAAGGCCAGGCAGTGGTGGTGAATGCCTTTAATCCCAGCACTCAGGAGTCAGAGGCAGGTGGATCTCTGTGAGTTTGAAGCCACCCTGGGCTACAGAGGAAGTTCCAGGACAACTAGAGCTGTTACACAGAGAAACCCTGCTTCAAAAATACAAAACAAAACAAGAAAAAATAAAGATGATTTTTTATTAAAAAAATTAAGAATAAAATGAAATTATTATTTCAATTAAGTTCTTTTAAAAATATGGAACAACAGAAGCAAGATTATACATTGTGTAATCCATTGACAATTGTGGGGGCTTGGCTCCACAATCTTTATGGATATCAAGATCTATGTATATTTACATAAATGGCAAAGTACTTGTATATAAATGTGCATGTCTTCCTATACAGTTTAAGTCATTTCTAGATTATACACAATAATTCAAACAATGTAAATACATAAATACAAATAGCTGCTGCACTGTATTGTCCAGGGTATAATAAGAAGACAAAAGCACATGTTAAGAAAGAACAATTTTTTCCTAATAATTTGGATTCAACTTAATTAAATTAATGGATACGAACTGACACATGGACAACATTTACATCACTCAAATTAAGAATTTTAGGAAGAAGCAACTCAATTATAGTTTTAAATGAAAATGAAGCCATTTGATTTATCTGTGCCCTTCGAGAATAGAGCAGTTGTAAATTATTGCTTTTAGATTTCATCAGTGATAGAACATGAACCATGCTGGGTGCTGGTGGCACATGCCTTTAATCCCAGCCCTCAGGAGGCAGAGGCAGGTGGATCTCTGTGAGTTCAAGGCCAGCCTAGTTGGTCTCCAGAGTGAGTGCCAGGATATGCTCCAAAGCTACACAGAGAAACTCTGTCTTAGAAAAACCAAAAAAGAAAATGAATCAAAGCAAACTTCAGATCTGAGGTAGTAATGATAACATACCCATGAAGGAGAATGTTCAAAATACGAAGTAATTTGCAGTCAAGTAGCTACTGACTTAATCTTTGAGGATATTCTTTTATGGTTTGCCCTGGTGCAGTTCTGGGGATCCAACCCAGGACTTACTTTCCCCATGCCAGGCAAGTGTACTACCTACAACCATGGCTGGCTTTCAACTTGCCATGTAGACCAGGGTGGCTTGGAATGAAATTTTTCTGGCACCTCTCAAGATGCTGAATCAGAGACACATGCCACCATGCCTGGCATGGTTACAGCTTTGATGGTAACACTGGCATAAAATGGACATAGTCTTCTAAACAGAACCTTTGTTATATTCTATATCTTATGTGTTTGTCGATAAGAAACAATAATAAAATATCTTTTAAAATTTTGAGGTCATACATTTTCTTCAAATACCTTAAAAGAAAATGCTAAATTTCTTATAGAAACACTAGCATATCATTTTCAAGAATTGGTTAAAAGTTTGGTAAAATAGAGAATATATTTCTTCATTTATTGGTAACACTGGCACAGGATGGCTAAAAGTGCTAGGTCCCAAAGATTAAAAACCACAATTCTTTTTCTAAGCCAAAATAAAAACATATGAGGATATAATGGTACAAAATACAAATAAAAGAAGAAATAGATGGGAGATGGGATGGGGGTGTTGGGGAACATGGGGAGATGGGAGGGAGAGGGAACTGGGATTGATATTTAAAATAAGATTGTTTCTAATTTAAATACAATTTATTTAAAAAAAAAGTTGAAAACTTCTTAGCAGAAAAGAAAAGTAATAAGATTTGAGTTCTGGGGCTGAGGCTGTAGCTCAGATGGCAGGGTGCTTGTAGTCCTGGGATAGATCTTTCACACAGGATGCCAGGTGTGGTAGTTTGCTACCCTACAATGCTAAGGAGCTAACTGAGGGTCTTCCCCATGCTAGCAAGTATTCTACCATTGGGATTACATGCCTGTATTCCTGGCACTTGGGAGTAGAGGCATGTGATCAGAGGTTCAAGGTCATCTACAGCTATGAGTTCCAGGCCAGCATGGGATACACAAGAACTTGTCCTTAAAGACAGGTGGGGAAAAGCACATAAGCGAAAACAGCAAGGAAAAAGAAATGTTTTGTTCTCTAAGCTCAGGGAGAAGGAAGCCTACTCTGGGAATGCAGCTCAAGTTGCTTCTGTGATTAGTTAGCATCTCTGAAATGAAAGAGTGAGAAAATCAAAGTATGAGCATCATGAATGCCTCGGATGCCATGGAGAGGGGCTTTCCAGCTCCACACATCAGGACCCAATTGTTCATTGTGCTTTTAAAGGAATTTTACCAGAATAGGTGTTCGTTCGTGTGTGTGTGTGTGTGTGTGTGTGTGTGTGTGTGTGTGTGTGTGTGTGTGTGTGTGTGTAAGGCAGAAGACAATTTGGGGGAGTCATTTCTTTCACCACCATGGCTTTCAGAGATGGTTTTATGTGATGAGCTATCATACCAGCCCTCAACCCCCAGTGTGCCCTTTTCCAAAGGCTGGTGTGACCCGGGCAACCTTGTTACCTTCATTGATCCTTGAAGTTTTCATTTTGTAAGTATAGCACATACAATCTGATTGATGAGCTAGAACCATACATGAAGCGCCTAGATTCTCATTCTATGACAAATGCTATTATCACCATTATAATAGAGAAATCCAGAAGGGAAAGAGGTTTTGAGTTTAGAAGGTTAGATGAACCTACTCTAAATGGCTCTCAGTCGGTTAATACTCCACATACAGATCAGCTACCCACCATCTGATGGGAAGAACACAAACAGTGTATGTGAAGTGCCATACATATGGTCGAACTGATTCCTTAAAACAACAGCACTGAACAGAAAATTATGAATTCAATACTTGAATAATAAAAGGACCAATATAAATCTCAAGAGTGAGAAATTACAACACACTAGAATTTTACTTAAAGGAACCATCTGTCAAGGTTAATGGATTTTCCTTATTTGGTCACTACTGCCATTTGAATTGTGAACCTTACTGACCATCCTGCCCAATGTGTGTATACAACTTATTGCCTGTCACAAATTCCAAAAGACTTTTTATCTTTTTGATGATTGTGAAAGCCTTATTGGGTCACAGAAAACAATAACAAGGCATCATGTGACATTTAATTCCAAATATTAACAAGGGATATGTTAAGGATGACTGAAGTTAGTCTATGCTGTGAATTAAGAATGAATAAAAAACATATTAACAAAATGCCATGTGTAGAACATTTTAGGATCCTAATTCAAACTTCAACAACAATAACAACACACACTTTAAAAGACAACTAAGAACCTAGAATATAAACTGGTAAAGGGACTGTAAAGTAACCATTACTTTTGTTAAGTATAGTTTGGTACCACAACTCCATGTATCCATTTAAAAGAAATGGAAACTGAAATGTAATGAAATGATGTTTGTTATTTATTTTGGAGGGGACAGTGGGGAGGAAGGGACCAGAGGAATCCAAAACAGTAAATATGACTAGTGTCTGAAAATAGCTGGCTCTGTCCTTAGTGAACATTTACATATATATTGTTAAATACTAAGTAAATTAATGTTTTAAGAATTAGGTCTTATGGTGGCTCAGCAGTTAAGAGCACTGGCTGCTCTTCCAGAGCATCCAGGTTCAATTCCCAGCACCCACATAGCAATTCACAACTGTCTGTAACTCCAGTTCCAGGGATCTGATACCCACACATTAATGCACATAAAATAAGTTAAATAAATTAAAAAAAAAATAGAATTAGGTCATGGGGACTGGAGAGATGCTGTTCAAGAAGACAAGGTTTCAATTTCTAGCACCCACATGGAGGCTCTAGCTCCAGTTACAGGACATGCAATGGCCTCTTATGGTTTCCAGCGGCACCAGGCATGCTCAGGATACACAGACACCCATGCATGCAAACACCCTTAGCCATAAAATAAATAGTTATAGGCTTTCTGCTTAAGAATGCAAAGCTGGTTTCCTCTCCCTCAGCATAGTTTCTAGTGACCACAGCCAGCATGCAGAAACAGATACAAAACACTTTAGTTAGGATTGTAACTGGTCAGCTCCAGAGGAATATTGTGCTATCATTCTTTACTGAGAAGAATTTAGGGGGGAGGGTGTCAAATTCAGCTTTTTAAAAATCAATGTGGAAAAGGCTTAACTTGAATGAGCAAGTAGCAAAATTAATATAATGCAAGGGATGTAAAAAACTATAATTTGTTTTATAATATAAAATTAACAAAAATGTTCACAAATATGGCAGATATAATTTCTGGAAATAATAATATTCACTTTGTTAAACTATAACCCTGCCTCCCTTTATTGTCTGTTGAAGAGCAGTTTATGTGGCTAAAAGCTCTAGATATCACTGATGATACTTTGATATGATGTTCTTAGAATTCATCCTAAAGTTAGTAGTAAAAACCTTTGGGGAAGCCTAACCCTGAAACATTAAACCTTAGTTATAATAGAGGTGAGGAGGGCAGCCAGGAACTGGATGGTGACAACTGCTGAAACACACCACTTCAAAGGCTTCCAGGAAGCAGAGCTATACACAGGCTGTGAGCATGTGTGTCTGCACTTAGTCTGGATGTGTAAGAGAAGTAGAGCTGTTCAGAGACTGTGAGCATGTGTGTGTCTGCAATTAGTCTGGATGTGTAGCTCTTCCCAGAGTAGAATAAAGAGAAACAGCAATCACTGGAAAAAAAAATTTTTTTTTTTTGCATGTGAGAAGGAGGACTCTACAGTAGCTAATTTTCTTTCAGCTGTACTAGTCTCCCCACTCCACCCCCTTTTTTTAACTGCAGGTTAAACATAATGAATGTGGCAACACAAAATGTGACTGCTAAAATTTGAAACTTTCTGAGAACCAACATGACAAGTAGAAAATTCCCTTCTATGACCTTTTTGTACCAGAGTCACGAAACATATTGTACAAATATGTATAAATAAGATATATGTTTATGTTTATATGTAAGATACATAAAAAGAAAACATACTTTGTTTTTATTTGGTTCCTATCCTTGGGATATCTCATTATGGTCTTAAAATATTTCAAAATTAAAGAGAGAAAACGTGAAAATCTGTAAAATGTTTGGTCAAAAGCACTTTGGATAGGGGCTTCAGTTTCTACTAAACTTTTTACTGTTATTAAGTATAAATATATGTAACATATATCAGCCCTTGTAAGAGCATGAAGAAATACAAAAGAAAGTTAAGTTTTCTGGTAAAGTCTTTCTCAGTTATCACAATTCACAACTATAATACAAACCTCAGTAATAGATTAAAAAATTGAAATGGCATCTTTATGGCTTTTGTTAAAAATGACTTCCTATGATAACAATAAATGTGTACTCCCAGGGATTCTCCTTTTAATGGGCTGGGGCAATTCCTCAAGCTCCCTTTCAAAGGGAAGAACAAATGGTGTGTAGTGGATCAGATCTGTAAACTATAAACTCAGGAACTTAGCGAAAGAACGTTGGGAGTTGGGAGGCCAGAGTGGGCTACATAGTAAAACACTGTCTCAGAAACCAAAACAAACTAAATCAATCAAAACAGGAAGTGACAAAAGGAAATAAACAACAACAACAACAACAACAACAAAAAACACTGCACTTTATCACATTAAAAAATGTGTCCTGTGAGAACAGAGAACTAAGACCTAATACACATAAAATATGTGATAGGCAAAGCCTAATAAACTATTTTTATATATAAAAATTTAACAAGTTTCCAAAAGCTGGGCATGATGACACACACTTTTAATCCCAGTAGGAGGGAAAAGCAGGCAATTACCTATGAGTTCAAAGCTAGCCTGGTCTACATAGTTGAGTTTATGAACAGTCAGAGCTATACAGTGAGACCCTGACTCAAAAAATAAAAACCAAACCAAACCAAACCAAACAAAACGCAAGATATCAGATCATAGGCTTATTAACAGATACAGAATGTTTAATACATGTTTCTCATGATGCTGAAAAAGAAAAACTTTCATTTATTTGTAAGGCTTTTAGTCATTTTTACTTGTAAATATGTTAATGTGGGATTTGCTTGTTTTGTTTCTAACAGTCATCAATTCATGCAAAATGCAGAAGGTAGGCCATTTGGAAATGGTACGCCATAAACTGCAATCGGAACTTGCAAATATAACAGCCTTTAAATAAGCAGCTATAAATAAAGAAATCTTCTTTGAAGCAGGTACAATCTTTAAAAAATTCTCTACATATTTCCAGTTAAGGATCATTTAAATGTAAAATCTATAATTTCACATAATTTACTATCAAATATTCTTCCTTTGTGAATACAGAAATTAATGAAATTAATACAGCTATTAACAGGAGAAACAAAATCAGTAAGAAAAAATGACAGTAAGAAGGATTATCTATAGCACTGCTCCAGTCTTTCAGCCCTAAGCACTCTAAAAGTCTACCGTGTTCCTTCCTGACATTCCTAGATCCTTTGAAATAGTAGGAATGATGTATCCACCTGAAAAATGAGCACATTTAAAAATCCCCTCCCTTATGTGCTGATGCAACAGTGGCATAAATGTTACAGGGTAATCATTTTCTGATTAGATTTGGGGCCTTGTACTATAAACCTGGTTAAAAGACCTTAGCTGTGAAGGTCACAGGCCTTACAGGGCAACCTCCTGCTATTCCTGCTTTGCTAAATATACACTGGAATGCTGACTATATGTAGACATACAATAAGCTAAATTTAATTTTTTTATTATATGTAAGAATCTCTAGTTTCATATTTATTATATGCCTGGTTGGACATGTTAAGCTGCCATCTAAATATTTATGTTTATAACCAGATTTTTGCTTCTCTCAACTGTGGATTTTTGTGTAGTTGGCAAAAGTTCATGCAAAGATTCCTAACTAGTCAAAGTGCTAAGAATAAGTGACTGTTGAGTGTTGAGACCTGAAGAGGCCATCTGTATACATCTTCTGCCTGCTCCTCCAGGTCTCTAAGGTTCAGGAAACACTGGAGAGCAAACGTAAGAACTGGAAGTTGGGAGGATAGCTGTGAAATGCCGTCCTCTGGACCTGCCATGGTCACTGCACTCATGAATTCACAGGTGCCATACTTACTGAATACAAAGTCAAGCCAGTCAACATTCCACCATTGCTTGGGGAATGGCTCTTGAGTCACTGTCCCTTGCTGAGGAGCTATTGGCAGTTTATGGCTGCTTGGAGAGTCATTTTTCCTTGGGGAAGTGGCAGCTGAAATGGGTTGCTCATACTCTGGATGGTTCTATGCCCACGTGCACGTGGGTAGTATTTATTAATTGGACTCAGTGGGTCCAAGCAGAGTAGGTAAGAGATGAGAGGGGGTAGTTAATGATCAAAATACACTATATACATGAATAAAATCAAAGAAGAAATAAAAATATTAAAAATGCTCTATCTTGGTCCCTTGTTAGGATACTAATTCAAATGGTGAACAAAATGGCATTAAACCAAGGCCTAAAAATGAAACCTGGAGAATGGAAAAGGAGATTAAAGAATCTGGGCAATGTGGGAATGGTTCTTCACGAGTAAGCAGGCTCTTAAGATGGTCCGCCAATGATCTTCACCACTGGACTTCATCGTTTATGTGGAGCTGAAGCAGGCCTGAACCACTATGGAGTGCCTACTGGCAGCAGGCACTATGCTAAAAACCACACAAAGGAATCCTACTTTTGTTTTTCATTTTCATAGCCCTCATGCATACTTTACTTTTCCTTGCAGACAATTATCAATCTTGGAGATAAGGGATGTAGTTTTGGGACTGTGCACACTAAGAATCAAACCTAGGAACTTAGGCAAAACAAGCCACTCTACAACTCAGTTATGCTCTCAGCTCAGAACATGGTTTTTTGTTTGTTTGTTTCTTTTTAATGGACTGTGTTCTCATAACAAATTAGTACTTCAGTACACAATTTTTCAGATCAGCAATAAAATGCATGATTTTAATGGCCTGAGCCATCTGTATAAACTAATATGCTTAGAGTTTTACTATTTGTGCCCTAAACTGATCATTTAATAACACTAACATACACAATAGTTCAAATAATTAAAATGTAAGAGAAAAGACAATTTTCTAGAGTTGTAGAGAGAAAATATTTCGAGCAGGAGAGCAAAGCTCATGAATTAAGAGCTGGCTTCAATCCTGGTACCACCTCTTGGGGCAATGATCCTGGGTGAGTCTTCACCTTCACCATAGTGTTAACAGATTATATGTTAATAGGATTCCTCAAGATCCATGAGAAAATGCTTTAGTGTATCATCCTTAGTGAGGTCCTAACACTAGCTAATGTCACTGTTCTGCTTTAGTGTATTGTCCTTGGTGAGGTCCTAACACCAGCTAACTCCACTGTTCTTCTTGGTTACTGAGCTAACCTTTTTGAATAGTGTAATGATCATCATAATGGAAGATTAAAACACACAAAATGAGGGTAAATTTTATTAACATTAGAGTTATTCTGTAATTTAGTCTGATTAACTATCATTTTATTTAGAGTTCTTACAGACTCCAAGAGGAAAAATCAATCAGACATATATAATCAAAATGAATTGAGAAGTTCATATATAGTAAAACTTTAAAAAATTAAACATTACATTATGTAAGTGAAAAATCCCAACATGTGGAGTTGGGACTTAGAATTTTCTAACAATCAGTGGGCATTCCTGTCAGGTACATAGATAATAGCATCTACCATGCAAGGTGAAACTGCATATACAAAACTGAAAAAAAAAAAAATCCTTACCTTGAATGCTAGAGTGAAGAACTGAAAACTGTTTAATAAATAAAGAGCACAACAGGGAAGTTTGCGTAGACATGAGCGGACACCATAACTGCTTAAGTTGAGACATGATTCATTTAATGTTTCCAGACAGCATTTCAATGAAACAAACAAGACAAAAGGACTCACCTGTGGGACCACACTCTGTATGTAGGTTGGTGGATGCTGCTGCTTTTGCTGAACAGCACTTTCTATTGCTACTTTAGCTACAGTGCTTGGATCCGCTCCTGCTGGTACAGCAACCATTGTTGCACTGCAGCCAGCATTGTTGGGGTCACTGATTGTAACAATTCTAACTCCTACTTTATTTGGAATTCCTGGGACTGCTTCCCTATCATTATCCTCTGCTGGCCTCTTTACAGTTTTGCATTCAGCTGTGCCATTTGTAGACCGAACATCAGTTGATAGGGCAGAATGGGACACTCTAGATCCTGAGTGGGGAACTGCTAGGATTTGATGCCCCTGTATAACAGGGGTTGTAGAATGTGGTGAAACAACTACACTTGGGCGTTGCTGAGGCACATCTGAATTCAAACTTGAAGCTAGAGGTCCGTTAGACAAGTCAGTACCACTGAATTGTTGTGTTACCACACTTGAAGCTTCCTGCATGCTGCTTGTGGACGGTGACCCACCCAAAGTTAATACAGGTCCATTAGAAACTCTTTCTAGTTCATCACCTTTGGCAGGATCTTGCTGAGTAGCATCTGAAGTCCCTTGTGGTTCTACTGGAGATATCTCACCATTTCCTACATGATTAGAAGTTTTGTGATTTGGAATGTTTTTGCTTAAATGAGAACCATCTCCTTTATCAAAATCACAGATCCCATTAACGAGGGTTTTTTTCAAATCACTTTTGATATCCTGCATGTCCATTTGTTCTGAGTTCTGTTTTCCAGATGCTCCATTCTCACCTAATTCCAAGGATGGCCCATTACTGATTAGTGAGCACTGAATAGTCTCACTTTGAATTTTCCCTGAGTTTGAAGGAGGTAGACTCGAGTCACTGTACTTTCTCCCATTTAAAAGACTTCCCACCTGTATTTCACTTTCACTTGTATCCCCATTGCTGGTGTTTATGGTTCCTCGTCGGCAGGATGGATTCTCCATGACTTCAATTTTCCGTTCATGAACATGTAAACCTGTTGCTTCCTTTGCTTCCTCCTCCTTTTGGCAAATTATCTTGTCGCCTTTGAATGGGGGGGTAGCAGTGGTACATGGTGATTGTCCGGCTGGAAGCGTTTGCACCTGAAGTCCGGCTCCTGCCTGTGCTCCACTCATGCTAATTCCTGCTGGAGCAATGAGCTGAGCTGCATTTCCCTGACTCACAGTCGCAGTTGCAAAACTGGTATTTGGCACAACTGTTATGGTTACCTGGTTGCCAGAAGTCCCTTGGAAAATGGTTGCTGGGCTATTTGAGATCAGTGGACCCGGCAATATTTGTAAGTTCGAAATGGGCACGGTTTGCACTCCCCCTGTTGGTGGCATAGCACTTTGGACCAACTGAACATTTTGCTGTCCAACCAATAGTTGCTGAGCTGGAGTTTGCCCCTGCACTCCAAAACCAGCAGCTTGGTTATTGGCCACCTGATATACCACCTGAGGGCTAGGAGCTCGTGCATTGTTAGGGGGAGGAATCTGTGGTGCTGGGAGGATAAGCTTACCCCCTGGGGTTGAAGGACCCCGCTTTGGAAGCAGCAGCTGTTTGATCAAACTAGACTCATTGGAAGCAGGCTGAGCAACCCCTGCATTTGTTTGCTGAGGCTGAACTTGCATCTGTACTTGCTGTGGCTGTTGAACTTGTACCTGTACCTGCTGTGTGGGAGGTGCTGGTGAATGCTGCTGCTGTTGCTGCCTTTTCACAGATAGCATTTGACTGACAGTAGGAGGTGGTCCCTGCGATTGCATGGTGGAAGAAGATGACATGGCAGTAGGTACTTGGTTATTAGTAGCTGGGACAGGTGATGGTGAAGAAGATGGAGTTATGTTTGGTTGTCCAGTTAGCTGAACTGTCTGACCAGCTGGAAGAGCTGCCGGATTAGCAAGAACAATTTGATGAATGGCTGGTGCGTAAGTTTGACCTTGCTGAGCTGGCTGGCTTACAATCACTACACTTTGCTGGGTTGGCTGCTGTGGTTGTTGAATAGGCTGCTGTACCACTGTTGATGAAACTTGCTGAGAAGGAAGTGGTTTGGGTGCAATGTTCTGGAATCCAACCCTGGAGGGCTGTGGACTTGGAACACCAGCTATGGTGACCACCTGTCCTGTAGCTACCTGGAAATTCTGTACTGAAGTTGCTGACACAATATTGGATGCAGAAGTTGTTACATACTGTGGGGGTGCTATGATAACAGCGTCTTGTGGCTGGCTACCAGCTGCTGTCTGTTGAGATGAAGTGTGCATAGGTTGTGGTGATGTGGTGATTAACTGTTGACCCTGTGAAACTGTAGATGTACATGCTGGTATGTTCTGTACTCTTCCAAATATATGACTCTGTGGTACAGTTTGCTGAATTACTGTAACAGGAGTGCCTGAAGGTATCTGTCCCGGTACCACTGTGTGTAATGGAGATGGTTGTGGCATCACAGATGGATGGTGAAGCAATGTCTGAGAATTCACAACTGTAACAGGTTGTGGCCCTGTACTATGATTCTGAACCACAGAAGTCTGTGCAGGTCCTCCTCCAAGAGCAACACTCACAGGAACTGCTGTCTGGGGCAGAGAATTCTGGATTACTGTTGCTTTAACGACTTCACAAGGAATTGGGGCTTTATTCTGAATGACAGTCACTGGAGCATTTTGTTGCTGGTGGGTATGAACTGAAGGATTTGGTGGAATTCTAGAAACAGTCTGTGCCACAGTATGAACACCTTGTACTGGAAAAGACATTTGTGTTGCAGTCAAATTTGAAGATTGATTGGTAACAGGAGTCCTCTGAAAATGATTTCCTACAGCTTGTGATCCATGAGGGATTCCTATATATATGGGGAAAAATAAAAGTTACAAGTAAAATGACTGTAAGATGTCAAATGTCTTATTATCTAATTTAATACAAGAGGAAGGGTGTAAAGAAATTAATGCCCAAAAGACAGGAAACATTAGAGTATGGTGACACCCATGAGAAACACTGTAAACAGCACAGGGCAAGGCCATCACTTAATATACAAAATACACATTTACATTCTAGCAATCCTTAAAACATTGAAAAACTTGGGGATACTGCCATTTGTCTGTAATCCCAGCTTTCAGAAGGACCCCAAGTTTGAGGCCAGCATGGTTTGTACAGCAAGACCTGACTGCATATATAATAAATGAATATTAAAATTGAAAGTTAATACCTGCAGGTGAAGGTGTTGGAGACACATCAGCAACAGAATCAACGCGGACAACAGGAGTGGAAACTGGCTGTTGCTGATAGTACATCTGGATGGGGAGTGGTATAGCCCTCCGTTTCACTCCTATGACATGAATATGTGCCTGCCCACTGCTATTGGAATCCTCCACTCTCTTCACTGTATGATTTGGAAAAACTGTTCTGTAAAATAACACACACTAATTATGAAAAACAGGACAAAAGTACAGCACTGCCCCCAGCAATGCTCAGAGCATTGCCATTGCTACTAATGCATTGACCAATGAGTCACAATGTCATAGTCTGCAAAAGAGGAAAGATAGATATGTACAAGATTAATTCTCTAATTAAAGAACCATTGCTTATTAACAATGTTGAGTTTTAAGCAATTTATATATAACCAGTTTTTAAAAACATGTATGTTTATGAATTTAGCAAAGCACAAAGGTCTCATATTTGGTCAAATGCATATCAACAACATATTAGGATTCAAGACTTAAAATGAATAATGTCTTCAACATTTCAAAGAAGGTAGGAGAAAAAGGGGAATTTGACTTCCTACTTTTCTTTCTTTGATAAACATTATAGAAACATTTCTTTCTTTGATAAGACATTATAAACCCTGCCTCAACACAGTGACTTTACTTGAGCCTCTACTGAACTAAAGCCAATGTGTGGGGAAGTTCAAGCAGTAGAGATGCAAAAGTCAGCAGCCTTGTGGTGTTTTCTCTAGTATGCAAGAACAACTGACATGAATGAATCTTTGAAAAGCTGGTCACTTTACCTCAGACACCTGTAAAACCCAGTTGATGTGAGGATGCCACCACGAGCTAATTTACTACAAGTTGAGAGGTACTCAGAATACATTTCTGCTCGAGAGACTGAACAATCTGGATTTACTTCAAAATGAGCATTCAGCCTAAACAGAAAAAGAGAAAAATTAAGACATTATATACCATGAACCTCCATGTATATTAAAAGATAAAGTGTTATACTAATAATTACTTCAACTAACCAAATTTCACTACCTCGTATGTCAGTAGTAAAAATACACATAAGGTTTAGACAGATTTAATGAAATAGGCCAATTGTTTATCATATTTACTAAAGGAGTATAAACAAAAGCTACAGTTACATCTCAGCCACAGGAAGGATGGTCTGTTAGCAACAGTTCTCTAAGAAGCAGTGTTACCCAGTCATTATCTGGTGGTGTACCTGTCTTGCAATAACTCCTAATCAAAGGCATCATAGTGTGCACTGAGGTCAAGGAAATAGTGGAAAACTGAACTAATTTTTTCTCTGCTCTTGGATCAAACTCCTTCAGCCAAGACTCACCAAAGCTTTCCAACTGTGCCATCAAACAATGACATATTACGCACAGCCACTCTCATCTCAAAACACTTCCATTTGTACTTCTAAGAAACTAACACACTTCTTTTTAGAGTCAAGTCCATCTACATTAAAAACATGTATGTAAGTCAGCATTAGAAATCTTGTTAGCTTTGTAAAGTCTCTTTCCAGAACTCATTAGCAAAAGAGGTCAACCTGTTTCTCATACATTTAATTAAATAGTAACAATGATAAAATAATTTTCTCTCATCCTTGTCAAAAGTGGTAATTGAGAGGCTATGCTCAAGGAGAGCCTGAGCTACACAGCAAGCACCTGCCTCAAACACACAACCAAAACCAAACAAAGATGATATTTAACAACAAAACCTGATTCTCCAATTTAGTTTTAATAAAACTGCTGGGTAGCTAATAAATCCATTTCTTTTTCTGTTGGTTTGTTCTTCCCAAGAATTTTAAAGCTGTAACAGAAACAAGCCACTTACCACTGACAAGCAAACTTTTCACTATCTATTTCCACTATTCCTGGAGGTGGAGCGGCATGCTGTGTCACAACTGTTCTGGAAGCTGAAGAAAAAGAAAAAAAAAAAAAAAAAAAAAAAAAAAAAAAAAAAAAAAAAAGAGCTCTATCATTTACTAAATTTAGACACTATATGCTACATTCCTGGGCACTAAACCAGTTCTTATTTATAAAGAATGTCTTTCTACAAAGGTATGGAAACACGTGAAAATAAAGAAATTAGAGAAAAAAAGAAAAGTGATCATGCATATTAGGTACTATTTTAGAATCTTCCTATTTTGTTTAGCCTCATAATTATTAAACAATAAAATGGATAATTTAGCTACTAGCAATATAAATTGTTTTTCCCATCTCCCGAAACTGATTGAATACTTCACATATTTATTATTTTCTCTAGTTATTTGTTATGTAGGTACAGATAAGAAAAGCCACAAAGTGATTAAAACAGAACCTGGCCTGAGAAAAGCTGTGGACCTATGTGGGAGGGGAGCTCAGCTTGTTGGTTGTGTGCTTGCCTAACCTAGGTATAAAGCCATACATTCAACCTCAGCACTGCAGTCAATAAACAAACAAATGAACAAACGGAAAGGCTAAGGTCATCAGCTCAATAAGCATCTGTCAGTTCAGCTGTACAATGCATTGGAAGTGATAAATTCATTTTTAAATTTAAAAGGTGAATATTAATTCTATAGAGTTTCTAGGATAAAATGGGACAAAAAGCAGGAGGATTACCAATTCAAGGCTAGCATTGGCATCAAGAAAAGACCTATCTCAAAATCAAGCACAGATATCTTGCTTTATATAAGTAATAAAAATTTAGCTTTGTTGATTAGGATCCGAGTGTGAGCTGTACACTCATGCCTATACTTTAGCCCTAGCACCCAAAGCAGCACCTACTACCCACCCCAGCTTTATCAGCTTGGCTTTGTGGCAGACATTCTCAAGTATTAAATAAGGGAAATCTGTACCATCAAAATTTTTACAAGAACTAATCAAAACATATGATATATAGCACTTTATAACAGAAGTAGCACTGAAATATAGTGATGTTCAATATTGAATACTACTTCAATTTTTTTTAGTACAGCAGTCTAGACCAATAGCACCAGCACCTCATAGGAACTTGTTAGAATTAAAGTTCTTAGTTCCCACCTGACTAGAAAATTAAGAACTCTGTGCTGTATGTATATGCAGCCTTCAGACAATTCTGCCATACTCTCAAGTCTGTGAACCATCAAGTAGAAACCATGATTACAACAGTCTTGTAAATACCTTTTAAAGATACAACCCATCTAAAGATGAAGCAACAAGTCAAGCATTTCATAATTCTTCGGTTTTAACAGAAAGGAAGAAAGAAGGAAGGAGGGAGGGAGGAAAGGAGGATGGAAAACAAAAATAGCAGAGCTCTAGTTGTTAGATGAACAATAAAAATAAGTTTAATACCTTTTGGATGATTGTTAAAAAAAATTCAAAGAATTACAAACAAGTTCTGTCCTTGTCCACTTAATGACGTAACCTAAATTGTCAACTAGTATCTGCAGTTCCAACTCAGTGATCTCTTGGGTGACCCTGGCTAATCTCCATGAATTACAAAAAAGTCAAGTCTTGAATGGGAAAGGGACTGCTGGGATAAGGGAGAGAGGGTTGATGGAATGAGAAGAGAAAAAAATGGACTAATCAGAATACATGCATGTATGAAATTGTCATCAATTTAATAAGAGAGAGAAAATAGCATTAATGCTGGTTCCAGTTCCATTCTAGCAATAAATAGTACACAGTCACACATATACTACATTCATGGCTTCTGGACACTAAAAATACTTACAAACCTGTATTTACTCTTGTCTGATGTACTACTTATACTAAATCTTGTAATTATAAAACAAACTTTTAAAAGAGTTTCTTAAAGACACAAACTTTTACCAAGTATATCTTAAGGTTGGGGACATGGCTAGGTGATAGAAAGAGACTTCAAGAATGAGAGTGTGACAATAGGATACGGTTTATAAGGCTACTGGGGAGACAGGGTAAAGGAAGGCTTTAATATGGTTTCTGACACTGTGATTTGATTTTTTTTTTTTTTTTTTTGTCAAGAATGTTAGACCTGAACTGGGAATTTGCTCTGACACTGACCCATACTCTTAGACATTTGAAAACATGGATTATGGCATTGAAATTCTAGTAACTATGAAGAATATGGTATTATTTTTTAAAGTTAGTTTAATATCCATCAAGAAAATATACTGTTTGTAACCATTTAAATTATGATGAAATTAGGATGCTGAATTAAAAATAGTAAAGGTTTTCATGATGATGAAGTGCAAAATTTCAAAATAACTGTTCCATGAGAGCAGTATTAAACTGTAAGAGGAAAATGTGTCCAACTACAAAGAATAACCAACTAAATGATCTCCAGCTCAAAGTTAACTCTTTTAGGTCTCTAGAAGCCACCTTTCCATTTCTGTTAATGAATTACTACCTAAGTGAATAGTCCCCAGGTTCTTAATGCTTAACTGTATTCATTAGACACATGAGAACTAAAGCCTAGATCAGGGGCTGGGTTCATCTGCTGAGGTCAAAAGAAATGTTAAGATTAAAGTTCATTCATAACACAAAATAGTACCTCTCATTAAAGTGACCTTGAATATAATATTACTCACTGTGATTTAACAAGTCTGCTATTCTTTTTAGACACTACCTCTCCATGCCCTCATCTAACTTCATCTCTTGTGTGATAAAAAGAAGATACTCACTTCACCCTCATAAGTGGCAACAACATTACCTGTTTCTTTTGAAAAACTATTACATACTGACTAAAGTTTTCTCAATTATACGTAAAGGGTCTACTTATTTAGAGAAAAGGTCTTATACTAAGCAGCCCATGTTGGCCTTGAATTTGAGAGCTTCTTGCCTCTGCCCCCCCTAGTGCTGGGTGATAGGTAAGACAAGATGCCTGGATATTTGCTTGCTGCTTAACATTTTCTCCCACAGATACACTAACATGCCCCTTTTTTGCCTTTAACATTTGTTCAGCTCTGACAGATAAGTTTAATGCACATATAATACAACACTACCAGATTTTTAAGGACACACAATGAAATATGTGACAGGTATTACATACTTCCCATAAACAGAATACATACTTTTAATACTCAGAAATAGAATGGAAAGAGAGAAACCATGAATGAGTGTGAGGAGTAAGAAGTCATTAGCACTGGTACCAAAAAGACCATATTTAGGAAGATGGTTTAATGATTGAGTGACAACATTAAGAATAATGAGGTGGTTTTCTGTTGTTTTTTTGTTTAGGGGGCATGGTTTCACTATGTAGTTTTGGCTGATATGAAACTCACTTAGTAGACGTATATATATATATATAATTTTTTGTTTGGAAGTCATGAGGGAGGGTGAAAAGACATGAATTGATTTGTATAGGAAAAAAGGAAACAAGAACAAGAAACTGATGGTAACAGAACAAAAATGGAGAAGACTGCTATCTAGAGCAGACACAGAAGTTAGCAGCTCCTTCTGACAGAGCACTTGTGCTAGTAAGTTTCGAGGCAAAGAAATATGAAATAGAGGAAGTCATTTTGCAGAGCCTGCACATTTAACTACCATAAAGATGACCATCTTCATTCAAAGAATGAAAGAAAGGAGAAGTTACTTTGGAGACAACAGATGGCAGAGAAAGTGGAAGATGGATTCTTTTGTCAAATGAAGATAACTAAGCAAACAAACAAACAAACAAACAAACAAACAAACAAAAAACACAAGCAACCCCAAAACCACTGAATGTGCTAAAATAAAAAACATGATTACTCAGAATAAGCTAGGAGAATAAATATAAAAACAAAGAGAAAGATAGTTATTAGGTTTGCCCTATAATTAAACATTTTCAAATGAAATAGAACTGAGCCATGGAACACCATAAAGAATGCCACATATAGGCATGTATGCTTCTGTGTGTGTGCACATATATTACACACATGCCAATTCCTGAGCTCTGTCTGATTCTATGGTCTTAACACTGACATTTAAGGATGTGGGGGCGGTGCACGAGCAGGACTGAAGATACAGTTCAGCATGAGTTGCTCTTCTAGAGGACTCAGGTTCAATTCCCAGCACCCACATGGTGGCTTATAATCATCTGCAACTCTAGTCTAAGTGGATCTGACAACCTCTTCTGGCTTCTGCAGGTACTGCACTAACATGCATGCAAAACACTCATACACGTAGAAAAACACACCTCCCCTGAATGTTAGGGGCACCACATACATATACCCTGGTTACTCAAGGGAACTAGAAGGTAATACACAGTTAACTTGCTCAGGTATATACAGATTCCATGAATAAAATCACAAAGAATAAGCACTGATTGCTTATAAATCCCTCATTTCTTTAATTGTTATGAATTTGATACCTCTATTTTATATACTCACCTTGATCTTGCAGTATCTGCAATGTAGGCTAGCTATGAAATCAGAAGTAAAACAAGTCTTCTTTAGCCAACTGTTCTATAAAACATTACTTCTTTGTACTGCACATTTGAATTTACCCTTAGCATTAAATCTTACACACCTATAGCACATTGAAAAAGAACTGAAAACACTAACCTGGGCCAGATGCTACATGGGTCTGGGTTTGGACCTGCTCTATAGCTTGTGGCCTAATTTCAGATAAAACTTGATGACTGGAGCTTGGATGTTCAACAAGTTTCACTGCAGCTAGTGCATCAGGGCCAAACATCTGAATGTCCATAGAAACCAGACACACTAGCATATCTAAAATTAAAGAAGAGGTGTTAATGACATTATAATGGAATGCCATTCCATGAATCATGGTACATTATTATTATGTGTGAATATTAAGAAAAGAGAAGCAGCCCAATATCAAAAAAAAATTTATTATCTTTGAGGTAGATATTAGATGTCTTTATTTTTAAAATGTTTCCAATGTGTTTCTGATATGCATCCAGATTTGGGGATCATTGATACAGAAAGTGACCTTTTAATTTCTCAATAACAACATCTTCAAGCTAAATCTTTAATACCTTTGATCTAAGTGTTCATCTATATGGAAGGCAGAATGCTAACACAGCATGATTCAGCAAGTGTATCTCAACTAGCAAGACTGGAGAGGTAAGCTTGCAGCCCTTTCAGACAGTGCTACTGTGAGAACAAGAAGGAAGCTGGTCTCATTCTGCTTTAGTCACTGACATTTGCAGAGGAAATCTGAAGGAGTTGGGCACAGTGGTGCTGTTAGCTTAGATCTGATTTTATAACACAAACTATTGAGAGGAACACATACTGCTGACAGCTACAAAATCATGTTTGTTACACAGCAGATGTGCCTTATCATCTAAAAGGGTAACATAAAGTTGTATGTCTGAGGGAGTAATAACTCTTCAACATTACACAATAAATCCTTAACACCAATGTTTCCACATAGTATCATATTGGTTTTCCTCAATAAAGAAAGTACTTGTGCGAAGATGTAGCTCAGCTAGTAGAGTGTTTGTCTGCCATACACAAAGCCCTAGGTCTGATTCCCAAGCACTGCAAGAAACAAACAGGTGGTGGCTCACACCTATAATGCCAGCACTTGGGAGACAGCTTTAAGGCCAGCATGGGATATATTAAGACCCTGTCTCCAAAAAATAAATAAATACACAAATAAAAGAAATTAAAATTAAAAGTGTTGATTATATCTTACCTATGCTCTTTTCTACTTTTGCAATTTTTGTGCAGGCAATGTCTCCCATTTCAGTGAGCATGTAGAGCACCTCCAATGTTGAGGTTACAAGCAGCACATCAGGCAAGGTGAGGTGACAAATTATCTCTCTATATGAGTCTTGATCCACATATTCACAAATCAAAACACCATTATCCTCTGCTTTGCAAAGATTTCCCAAAATTTCCATGCCTGCAAAAATACACACAGTTTTAGTTTTGAAATAAATGATAAAGTTTGTTCATATGAAATAATGGAAAAAATTGAGTTCTCACCCCTCATCTTTAAAAATCTATCCCTTGACATTAGGCATTTTGTAACAGTATGAAACATCAGATGAGTAGTTTTGAAATCAACAGGGTCCAATAAAAGCTGGAAGAAAGAAAGAACACCATCATTGAGCTATGCTTCTTCCCCAGACTGTGCAGTTTAAATTTAATAATAAAAAAAGAACAAGACAATGTTGTGTTACTTTTATTACTAAACATGTAGTATCATTTCAAATGTTTCTTTTTTCCCCCCATATAACACTTCTAAACTACCTTTCAGCTACAAATATACATAACACTTAAAATCTGGCAAATACAAGCAGATACAGAATGTAACATTTTAAAATTTTAAAGTACATGTGGATAAAAACAAAAGCCATGTTAAGGAAATGCCACAAGCTTACCTCAGCTGCAATATTTCCTAACGTGTCAAGGCCTAATTGCCTTAATGAAATAAAATGACTATGTGCAGAGAGTAATAGGAAACGAAGACAGGTGCGATTAGCTGCCAAGAGCTTAACGTTGCCCTCCTCAAAGGAAAGGTTCCGCAAGATCACTGCAATCTGAAGTACCCGCTGGCCTTCAATGTCATTAATGCCCAGCTTTCGAGGTGGATGAAACAAAGATTCCCAAAGCCATTCTCCTGATGTATCTTCTACAACAGAAAATACAAGTTTCCCTGAAACTGCTAGTATACTCATTATCGTTATTCTAAAGTATGTAATTAACTGACTTGTGCTCACTAACTTACCATGAGCCTTGTTCCGGTCAGAAATGAGGTCACGCACTTCGTTGTCATCAACAATGTCTTTCCAAAACTGTAATGAGAAATGCCAATGATTTGAAACAAATATTATATTACTTTGATGAATCGTACATAATACAAGACTGTATTTCTATACTGTATTTCTCAGTTCCTGTGGATATTGTTATAACCTGTGGGTTTGAATCTTTGACATAATCACTTGCTTTTCACATAGCTTAACATAATTTTTTTTTGGGGGGGAGGGGTTTCAAGACTGGGTTTGTCTGTGTAGCTTTGGAGCCTATCCTGGCACTCGCTCTGGAGACCAGGCTGGCTTCGAACTAACAGAGATCCGCCTGCCTCTGCCTCCTGAATGCTGGGATTAAAGGCATGAGCCACCAACACCCAGCAACATGAGTCCACAGAAACTTGTAAGGTATCTGGGATTTGGACGGCAAAGAAAAATGACATCTTAATATTGATTAGATTAAGTGAAATCAGGAATTTCTTTAGTGGTTTCTTCACCTGTGGGTATTATATAACAAAGGACAGTGAGATTAGGGCACCTGTGATTTGTTACCCAATAGGAATCATGCATATTTTCCAACTGTCTTACAACTATGTAAACTGTGGTTTATACAGATCAATAATATCAACTTCATCTATGAATTACATATTATCACAGCATCCATCTTTACAGGCACCTCTCATACACAATGTACACTGGTGGAGCAGATGTGTAAGTTGCTTTCCAGTGTTTCCAAACTGTCTTTGAACTTTAAATAGAAAGATATGAGTCAAAACCTACAAACTGGTAAGACTGTCTTTCAGACTAAGAAATAATGTCTTTAGACTTCTCCATCTTACAAAGCTCCAGTTTGTCAATGCCTGTGACTGGAACTTAAGCATAAGAGTGGGAGTGGTTCATATTCCATTCCAACAAACTGAAAAAAGAGCCACAACCAAGTACAGTAAATAATGAAGACACCAGATGTGGAAGTGAAAATGATCATGGATAGTAGGTCCAACGAAATGAAAGACCGAACATTTTGGCAAAGAAATGGAAACAAACAAACAAATACAAAACAATTCTAGGACTACAAGCTTAAAAATTCAAGGGGTGGGTTTAACAACTAATAATAGTCAAAAGTGAATAATAAAGAAACAAAAAGATAACCAGAAAAAAAGGTCCATGAAAAACAGTATCTCAGCAGAAGGGAAACAAAGTAGGCTGGGTGATAAGGGAAGAGCATTTCTTAAATAAACTAAAGTCCTAAGCTGCAGAATTAAGCAGTATTATGTCAAAAAAAAAAACTAAATAAAAATGTAGGAATGTAAAACTCCTTAAAAAGAAAGTCAAAGAGAGAAACCATATAAACAAGAAGGACAACTTTAAAATGAGAAGTTTGTAGAACTCAGAAGACTTAGGAAATAGAAAAGTTATGGAACAATACATTTTAGGGTAAATGGTCTGATGGGACTTATGGCCAGGAAGCAAGTAATGGAGCAATTGGTACTGGTATTGATTAACCTCCCATAAATCAACATGCATGGAAAGTATTTTTAGGATTAGACAGCAGATGGTGTAAGGCTATGACTACTGAAATGAAGACTTCAAAATGGTGGCCCACTGGCCACCCACAATTCTATTTGTACTTTACTTCCGGGCTAAGACATACAAAATAGAAACTCAAGAGATAGTGATTGCTAAGATGAACAGATTGTTTAGGGCTTACTTCAAACCAAGGCAGACAGCATTTGAGGGACAATCTCTAGCAATGATAAAGTCATGTAGAAGAGGACATCCACAAATCTAGAAAGGGGTACCTGCCTGAGTACAAAGCTGTATATCCAATATGGTAAAATTCCACACAACAGGCAAAAACATGGAGACAACACTAAAGAGGTACAATAGAAAGTTCAGAGAACAGTGAAGATACATAAATCTAGCTAATTCAACAAAATGCCTACGGATACTAGACCTTGGATAAGATCAATCTACACATACTAAGGTGGGAGTCTTCAGAGCCCCTGAATCTCCATGTATTTAAGACTTCTACAGAAATTGGTACTGGGAGGCTTCAGAGTTTTTTGGGGATAAGGTCTAGTATAGGGGTCTTAAATCACTGTGGGCATGCTCTCAAGGTGAACTGTGGTATCCTGGCTCCTCTGTGCTCATCCTAAGTTCCTGGTCACTGGGGAGCCAATTTGTTCCACCATATAGTCTTGTAAAAATGTGTTAAATTACTCACACTACCAAGATCACTGAGATGTCATTGGGATGTCTAAAATGTAAACTAAAATAACCCTGTCCCTTATGAGATTATTATCCCCAGGGCCTCATATATAGTAGGCATTCTACCACAGCTACACTAAGGTAGAAATGCTGTTGTAGGGATAAAAAACTGACTTTAAAAAGAAAAAAAAAAAAAAAAACCCTTGAGCAACAAAGCTAAACCGAATAAAATTACAGAGATAAACAAGCTAACAGCTAAGTTTTTGAGAAGAAATTTAAATTCTCTAAATGACACCAAGATGTAGAATTCATGATGTAATAAGCACAAATATCTGTAGTTGAAAAAAATTTAAGAGACACAAGAAACTACGAAACCTGACTAATTATCAAGACTAAAACAAAACAAAAACAAAACTCACCACCAAACAAAAAAAAATTTCAACAAGACTAGTTCTCAAATAAGAAAGATCAAAGAATAGATAAGAGCTTAAAATATCTATATTAAAAAAATACTCTCAAGGCCTTAAAAAGAAAAAAATAAACACAATGGATAAGGGAAAATGAATAATAAAAATAAGAGTCAAATGAAAACTTTAAAACTGGGCTGGAGAAATGCCTCACTGGTTAAGAGCACTGGCTCATGTTCCAGATGACCCAGGTTAAGTTCAAGCACCCATATAGCGGCCCCTGGGGTTCTGCACCGTCTTCATAGGCTCTACACACACAGTGCACAGAGATAACATTCAAGCAAACACTCATAAATCTCAATTAAAAACTGTAAACTTAAGATTTTAACTAGAAATAAAAACAAATTACAAGATTGTCTCCTCTTGAGAAGATAAAAACTTGACAAAAATATCATGTATAATGAAGTACACAGGGGATAAAAGATTTGAAAACCAAATTAGAACATTAGGTGTGTGAAATATTATTGTTTAATATATGCACAAATGTTTCCCAAATAAAATTTGAGGGGAATAAAAATACCTTGTTAGTTGTCAAACACTTTGCAAATTTTACATAAAGTATCAAACCGTAGATCCACGAAGTTAAATGAGCACTAGGGAAGGCATGTCATGAAAAATACAAGGCACACCCAAACTAGATTTAAAATCAGTTAAAAAAAAAAAAAAATCTTGAAGGCAGTTAGAAAGAAATTTCATCTAGAAGAACAATAATAAAGCTGACCGACTTCTCAAGACTAATATAAGCAATGATGCATCATCTTCAAAGGACTGAGACAAGACCCCACATACACAAATCTCTTAAACGTGAAGGCACAACCAAAATTTCAAGAAAATAAGAGTTGGGAGGTAAAAACCCCATTACATCATTAACATCATGAAATATGGTGATTTCTTTTCCCCCTGGGACAGGGTTTCTCTGTGTAGCTTTGGAGCCTATCCTGGCACTCACTCTGGAGACCAGGCTGGCCTCGAACTCACAGAGATCCGCCTGCCTCTGCCTCCAGGGTGCTGGGATTAAAGGCGTGTGCTCCCAATGCCCTGCAAAATATGCTGATTTAAAGACAGAAATTGCATTCCGTGAAGAGGAAGAACCCCACCAAAAAAACCAAAAAAAAAAAAAAAAAAAAAAAAAAACACTGAATACTGAATTTGAGGAAGGAAAAACTGTGAGTACAACATCTATCGTAAGAAAGCCTTGCAGCCAAACTAACATGATACAAGGTTGAATTCAAGGCAAGAGATATCAGCAGATGTGTTAGGAAGTATTTCATAATGGCACTATGAATCTGTCTGGAAAACACACGATTCTAAGTATTGGTGTGATTAATAACAGAAGTTCGAATACATGAAGCATAAACAGAACCGAAAATGAATACAAACATTTATATCATAGTTTGCAAGTACATTGCTTCATTTTGTAGTGAATCACAGAATAACAGTTATTAATAGACACCATGTTAAACATGGCAGCATAAAAAATCCTTTAAGGCTCACAGGAACCACTAATGTATAAAGATTATGTTGGATCATAAAACAAATCGTTATAAATGTAAAAGGCCTGAATCATGAAAAACATATCCTTCAAAACAATACAATGACTAGAAATCAGTTTTACTGATGATGATAAACCCATTAGAAAAAAATCTATTTTGGAGAAATTAAAAGCATTCTTCTTTGATACTTACGAATCAAAAGTCACCAGGAAAATCAAAAACTATCTTGAACTAAATAATAATGAAAAATAATATAAAAAGGGTGGAGAGATGTGACTAAAGTAGTTTGTAGAGTACAGTGCATAGTATATGAAGATATTAGACAGTAGAAAAACCTTAAACAGATCATCTAAAAAAGAACAAGTTAACTTATTCACAGTGAGTTAATAACAATTGTACATAGAAATGGAATTGTTTTAGGATCCCAGCATTATCTAAGACTTGGTAGAAAAATTTGTTAAATGGGTTGATATGTAAATTGCTCAAATATAAACAATGAGATAACAGAAAAAGGGCATACAACTTCAAATTCATAGTGAATAAGAATCTGGACAATTGCCAGGCGTTGGTGGTACATGCCTTTAATCCCAGCACTCAGGAGGCAAAGCAGGCACATCTCTGTGAGATCGAAGCCAACATGGTCTACAAAGCGAGTGCCAGGACAGGCTCCAAAAGCAATACAGAAAAACCCTGTCTCAAAAACCAAAAGAAAAAAAGAAAAGAAAAGGAAAAGAAAGAAATAAAAAGAATTTAGACAATTAAAAGTACTTAGAGCTGGATGTGGTGCCTGCCTGTAATCCTATCACTAACAAGGTGATTTCAGCAATACACTGGGGAGGCTGAGATAAGCTTTTGAGTTTGATGCTAGTGTGGGATACACAGTAAGAAGCTGCTCACACAGACACACACACTATTCAGTCCTGGGGGTTAAGACCCAAATAAAACCAAAACAAGCTATAAATTCAAGAAGCTACAAGGAATCAGGTAAACTGAAAAATAGAAATTTATTTGGTTTCTGGGAACCAAGAAAATCCCCTTCTAAATAAGTCAGAGTATCAAAAGGGAAATGAGGAAATGTTTTACAAATGAATTATTTGTATTGAAAACAAGACATCACAAATACGCACTAGAAAGTTAAAAGTGTATAGATGGCACTCCACTCTTAAATGTATCATAATGTATATATTAGAAAACCAATTAAGCCTTACTTGTTAGAAAGGTGCTACATACTAAAGCCAAGGTAAACAGCCTAAAGAAGGATTTTTGAACAGTGGAAAGTCAATGAAAAGCAAAGCAAAGTAGGCTTCATCAAATCTCCAAAACATTTATGTCTTTGCATCTGATTAGTAATTGCACTACCCTACTGTGACTTTATATATAAATATTTTGTGTTACTTGAGATATCAACATCAACTTTCCTGAATTAAGGAAATTATCCAATTCTATAAACAACGGGTATGGTGTTTTTGGAGTACAGAAAAAAATATGAGATGGGATCTTTGTTTAGTTTTGAACAAGGAATTGAGGATGTAATTCTATGATTGTAGGAAAATTACAGGCCTAATATTCTCAATAACCCTGAGATTTGGGTTATAAAACATTGCTCGGTGTGTTCACCCCTGGCTTGCTCTTCAGTTTCTATGGGCCTGTTTTGTACTACCTGAGTCAATGGGCACTAACAGTGATTTCAGAACAGTATTTGCCTTTAAATGTCTTGCAAATAGAATATGGCAGCATAAGTAAATAAAATAAAGAAATAAATGAAACAAGACTGAAATAAAATATAAGGGACTAACTGTGAGTCAGTAACATGTGGCTCACATGTTTTACAAGGGTTACCAGGTGTGGTGGTTTGAATAAGAATGGCCTCATAGGCTCATATATTTGAATATTTTGTTAGCAGGGAGTAGCACTATTTGAAAGGATTAGAAGGATTACAAGGTGTGGGTCTTATTGGAAGAAGTGTGTCACTGGGGATGGATTGTGAGGTTTTCAAAGTCCATGACAAGCTCAGAGTCTCTCTCTCTCTCTCTTTGCCTACAGATCAGGATGTAGTTCTCAGCTACTGCTCCAGAGTCATGCATACTGCCATGCTCGCCATCATTACATGGGACTAAACCTCTGAAACTGTAAGCAAACATCCAAGTAAATGCTTTCTCTTATTACAGTTGCCTTGGTCATGGTGTCTCTTTACAGCAATAGAACAGTGACTAAGCTACCAGATGATGTGTACTACATAAACTACATCCAAACTAAATAAACTTATTTAAAGATATTTTATTTTATTATTTATTTATTTTGGTTTTTCGAGACAGGGTTTCTCTGTGTAGCTTTGGAGCATATCCTGGCACTCGCTCTGGAGACCAGGTTGGCCTCGAACTCACAGAGATCCGCCTGCCTCTGCCTCTCGAGTGCTGGGATTAGTGTGTGCCACCAATGCCAGGCCCTAAAGATATTTTAAATATATCCATGTTCAAATTATTAAAAGTAAAAAGAATATAAGAAGATATAAATGATATGAAAGTCCCAAAGAATAAAAAAATTACAAAAAAGGGGACCTTAGAAATTAAAACAGGGTCTCTTAGATAAAAATTTAACAAATGTGCTAAATGACATATTAGACACAACTAGAAAAAGATAAAGTCCACTGAAGAACAAGTAACAAGAAAAAAAAAAAGAAAAAGCAGAAACAAACAAACAAACAAACAAAAAAACTAGTTAGAAATGGGATTCCTTTAAGCCCAGTACCCAGGAGGCAAAGATATTTTCAAAACATATATTTTAAAAAGAACTTTACCAGGAAACATACAAACCTCTGAAAGTCAGTAATGTTAATAATCTCAAAGTAAAAATGGACAAAATGAGGGCACTACCCCAAGCAAGCTATCAAAATAGATTAAGGTATTTTAGTTTATACCAGTCATCAAGGGGGAAATGGAAATTAAAACCCAGACAGAATGACACCATAAAGACACTGGAATGGTTAAAATCAGAGACCAACGATATGAAACTCTGGCAACAAAGAATAACTGAAACCTTGATTTATTGATGTTGAAAATCATACAAGTTTTCTGTTAACCTGCTTCTCAATATCTAACAATATAATTCTATTTGCAGGTATATCACTAAATAAATATACAAAAGAAAATCTCCTAAAAACTTTAAATATTTTGTTATTATTAGAGATAAACTAAATAACAAAGGAATTTCACTTCTGTTCACTAGAGACCTTAAAAGAGTTTCCATTCACCATATCCTCTAATCAGGTATGTAAACAATCCTGCCAAAGACAAAGTAGTAGGATGCAATATGCATACAAACCCAGCAACCACTGACTTCAATTGGCTTGGCTGCACGGCATCCCATGCATGAGCATTTCAGTTTGTGAATTACCTTAACAAAGTCTCTATCGGTCTTCTCTCTCCATTCTTCTCCAAAGACAGTAGAGAATGATCCTAAAGCTAAAAGAACAAATAGTACAAATGCAATCAATTGACCCTTCATTCTTAATATTATGTAGCTTTGAAAAACAAGAAAACTATTTCAATATATTGTGATTGCTAAAAATCATTTCACATTAAATCACACTATAGATACTAGTAGACTGTAGTAAACAACAGTCTTTTAAATAGAGCTTCAAACATTTTATGTCTCTACACTAAAAACATACAATTCTAACCTGGAGATAAATCTTACTGATAGAGCACAGATGAGGCTCTAAGTTTGATCCCTAGCAACATAAAACAATGTAGTTTTTGGTGGGCTAAAAAAATGGTTTCACTTCAAGACTATGTATTGTTTATCCACAGAAACCAAATATGGTTCTGGACACCCTTGGAGGATGATTCACAACCACCTTTAACTCCAGGCCAGGGGATATGAGTTCCTCTTCTGGCACTGGACACTGCTCATGCACAGACACACACGAAGACACATAATTAAATATAAGTCTTTAAAAACATGCCCAAATTAAAAAGATTATATACACAGTAAATAAAAACAGTATCCCAATACAAGCTTCCTTTTGTAGGGAAGAAAAAACAGTAAAGAGGTAAACAGATGCCGTTACTATGGAGTACCAGGCTGCCAACACTAAAAATTCCCATACTGATTTCAGAAACAACTGTATGATTCATATCTTAAAAACATAAAACACAGAGCAAGACATCTGTTGAAAACAATGCCAATAAAAAATTCCTATAAGGAAAATTCTATAAGATAATTGCATTAAATAAATAATAGATAAATGAATAAATACTACTATACTGTGTGTAAGACAGAGAGAGAGAGAGAGAGAGAGAGTGTGTGTGTGTGTGTGTGTGTGTGTGTGTGTGTGTGTGTGTGTGTGTGAGTGTGTCATTCTCACCTTCAACTGTGTTTGAACAGGGTCTCACAGTCATGTATGACAGTGAGCCTCAGGTTCTTCTGTCCATGCCACCCATCTTACCACAGGAGAACTGGTTGCAGATACTGTCACACACCAGCTTTATGTGGATTCTTGGTTCAGGCCCCATGTTTGGCAAGTACTTTGCTCACTAAGCCATTTCCCAAGCCCTAAAGCCACTGGGGTGGTTAGTGCTTGTTTTTATCTTAACAATTTTTGTTGACAGGGTCTCACTCTGCAGTCACGGTTGAACTTAAGCTGAGAGAGCCACCGCCTCTGTCTCCTCCTCAGGAGTGCCAACACACCCAGATAAAAGCACTGTCTTAGCTGTTGAGATGATAGTGTTTGTTAAAATTAACATTCCAGATCACAGAACTACAATATGCTTATAGAATGTGAGAAGATACACTGGACATGAGAATGCCATGTCTTCATACATCAAAACTGGTCAAGTTACTTCTATGTTATGCATTATAAGTCATTATTTACACACATTCCATGCAGTGAATAGAGAGTAAGACTTGAGTAATATTATTTTGATGTGAAAACAAATGTTCTTTACAATCCTTTGGTTTTAAAGTTTCAAAAAAGGGATAAACAACTTCAAATTCCATTCTATGTTAAGTGCAGAGTTGTATTAGAATGAACAAAATAAAATATCACCAAAAAAAACATGAAAATAAGATGGAAATCTACCAAATTAGGATGTTTAAAGTTACAACAAAAACAAACAACAATCTTTGTTCCTTCCTCATAAAACTAAAATAGTTAAGGCAGAGGAAGAAGTTAATTTTTATGTATGTATACACTATTTTTAATTTTCTTCATATAAAATAAGTCTATAGCAAATTCCCAGTAGTCTTAGCTAGATATCCCAAATACAAGTTTGTAAAGTTTGCAACTTGATACAAATCAAAATATACTAAAATGAATCCATTTGCAAATAATTGGCTACTTAAAGGTAAAAATAAAAGCCACAAATCTAACACACTAGAGTAAATTCTCTCACAAACTGTATGCTCTATATGCACACAGCAAACATGCCTTACTGACAATTTTCTTTTTAGAAACTATGAAAAAGCTTGAATGCTTCCCTAGCGCTGCATCTGAAGCTTGCTAAAACTTACTGTCATCAAACACCCCAGCATTAGCAAGTAGTAAGGTGATGATTTTGGGGTCCTTTTCAAGCTGCATGGCATGCTTGCTTTCATTTGACAGGAGAGTGCACACGTTAATAGCGAAGTCCACCTCATTTGGGAGTCCAGATAACAGTGAAAGCACCAGTTTATTATAATCATTTGGCGAGTTAAAATCCATAGATAACCCATAACTTTGACGTAGATAATCTAATAAAAGAAAAAAGAAAGAATGAAAGAAAACCTGTAAGTTAACCATGGACGAGACATCTGTGGTAATTCCCTTCTGAACACACAGTAGACCCACCCCTCTCTTTCTTCAACATAGACTATAAGCTCATTAAAACAGCCCAATTTCCTTGACTTTCAGGCGTATTGTTTAAAATTACATTTTTAAGTATAAAAATGTGAAACTATACTTTACCTTCTTGGACATCACTGACAAAACCATAGCAAATCATTATTTCATTGGATTTACTGAGATAACAGTAAAAGCAATAGTTTTTAGCATTAGAATCCTATAAATTTTTTAAAAAATACACATAGCTGTCTAACCACAACCACAGACACAACAATTCTGCTCTTTTGAGCCATCGCTATTGTGCCAATGTTCTTGTATTTTGATCCTTGGTTCTGTTTTATTTTGAAATATCAGATAGGTGGAATTACACAACACACATTTTTTTTCTTTAACAAAATACTTGAGATCCATATTGACATGTGAATTGGTAATCCATTTCTTTCTAGACATAGTTCATCATGCCCTAAAGGAAGAGAGTTTCTACTGTTTCTAGTCTGGAATACCCACCTACACATAAACATTTCTATGAATGATTTCTTGGGGGACCAACCCATTTTTCTTGGCTAAATATATAGAAGTAGAGGTGCTAGGTCAGACACAAATTGAATGCTTAACTTTCTAGGAAACTGCAAAACCATTTTTCACATTTTGCACTCTCATCTGCAGTGCACAGAATTCCTTTAGCTAACATCCTTACCAGCATTTATCGGTATTAATATCTTGAATAAAACTTCATTTATTGAAGTTCTTTTAAAAAAAATTTCCAGTCAGTGAGTGGCTTGTTTTCTTTTTGTGTTTCCCTAGAAGCCCTTAAACTCACAGAGATCTGCCTGTCTCTGCCTCCTGAATGCTGGGAATTAAATATATGTACCACCACTGCCCAGCTGGCTTGTCTTCTTATTGTTTCAAAGAGAAGTCTTCATTCTGATGAAACTTAATTTGTAAATTTTTACTTTTATGTTTCATGTTTTTTTTTTTTTACTTAAGCAACAATTTCCTAAAGAAAAACAACATGATTTTCTTTGCAAGAACTGATTTTAAAACATCTACTTAACAAATGAGGGTTAGAAGATAGGTCCACAGACAAAGAGAGTACACAATCATAGTACGTCTGGGCTTTGGCAGCTATGACCTGAGACAAATACCCTACGACAATTTTTCAAATAAGGCTGTCACTAGTTTAAGAAGAGTTGGGAAATGTCCAGGTCAAACATTTCAGAATACTTCAGAACTAGTTAGATTCTTAAAAGTGTAAAATAACAATGAACTCTAAAACTCTAAAAAGAACTCTCTATAAAATATTAGTAAAAATCTACTGTTACATACTGAACAGAAAATATAATTTCTGAGGGGGGGATTTGAGATGTGGTCTTAATGTGCTGTTCCAATTGGCTTTGACCTAACATTTCTCTTGCTTGAAGCTTCCAAATGCTGGCATTATATTTGCTTCCATAGGTGGCTCAACATCAGCATCTAACAGACACCTCTTTAATTCTAAAATATTCTAGGAACATCACTAATAATGGTAAGCAGTGTAACAAATGAGTTACAAATGACTGAGACACTGATTCTTTGAAATTTTTAACATTGAACAATAAGACATGGCAGACTGGCTCACAGGGATGGCTCAGCTGGTCAGTGCTTGTGCGGCACAAACAGGAGGACCTGATTTCAAGTCCCCAGCATCAAAACAAAACAGCCTTGGTGTCATATGACTTTAATCCTAGCACTGTGAAGGCAGAGACTTTCTCACTATGAGCTCAGGTTCAGTCAGAAATCCTGTCTCAAAAAATCAATGTGGAAAGTGACTAAGGAGAACACCCAGTGCAAACCTCTGGCTTACACCCACAATAAGCTTATGTTTTTTATGACTTTGATGAATGAAATTTCTCAAATACCTTAAAAAGTAGACAAATATCTAGGGATACAAGAACAGATTTTGATGTTTCTATAATGCAGAGTAACTGATGATGAGAAATAAAGTTAATTTTGTAGGTGCTGTCACCCAAACCTCCTGAAAGGAAAAAAACCTGGAACTCACACTCAAAATGCCTGATACACTTACTTCCTCAAGTTAATACAATTGTGGAATTACTTTGCTACTGAAGAATAAGCATGTATACATTCTTATCAATTAACTTTGCTAACCATACAACAAACAAAATAGGAAGTATCTTTTAATCATTCTCGGTTTGGTAAAGATTTCTAAAGAGAATGCATGATAAAATACAGAACTTTAGATCCAGATGGGGTCACCAAGACGGCTCAGCAGATAAAGGTTCTTAGTGCTATGCCTGACGACTTAAGTTTTGATGACTGGATTGCACATGTTGGAGAGAACAGACCATCTCGATTATCATCTAACACCTCCACCTGCCATGACAAACCCTTTTCAAAGACAGAAGAGAAAATGAGTGTTATAGACCCATAACTCCAATCACCTGGAACCCTAGGGACAGAAGGCCTATCTCAGTCCATATGTTTCAAACCAACCTGGACAACTATTAGAATGTAGTCTCATTAACAAAACAATACCCCACAGGTCTTATGGTCTTCCTTTCCCTTGTCCAGCAAGCTATGTTATTTCAGAATGAGACTGGCAATTTATTTTTTAAGAATCTTGATTTAAAGTTTACTGAAGTACATCACTGTTAACAAATTAAATTTGAGGCAGCCAATTCTTTGTTTTCAATTTAGAGAAAAGAGGAGTCCTCCTACCAGGTTGTTTTTATGTCTCTTACAGGGATGTTGTGGGATATTCTTTCTAATAATGTTGGCAGTGACTATAATTGCAGGCCAAATGTCTGTTTGATTAGGGAACATTTAATCGGCAATCAATGTAACACTGACTATCTCTAAAACAGTAGAGTTCCATTAGTTTTAATGAGTTATCTTCTATGAGTTGTCTTCTGAACATTTCTACACTTATTAAGGTTAGAAAAAAGCTGGGTGTGCAGTCACTGAACACTTGTCTAACATGCACAAAGCCCTACCTAGGTTTTCTCCTTAGCAACCTTCATCCACATAAATCTTAAAAATCTATGCATAATTCAAATGAAAATATTGATATCAGTGGTAAATAATCCAAATGCTCAAAACAGAAACTTCTCAACATTTTCTACAATTAAAGACAATGGGAAAAAAAAAGTCAATAATCTCTGCTGTTCCTTGAATGTATGGTAGTCATGTATACAGGTTTACATGGGGCAGGAGGCCTGGGACTGATGTTAAGAATCACCCTTCATTATTCTTCTACCTTAGTCATCCATGAAGTCTTTCAATCAAGTCCAGAGCTTGTCTACACTGCTAGAGAGCCTATCTCTGTCTTTGGAGGCTGAAATTACAGGTGTGCTGCCATGCATTTATGTGGGTTTCTGGGGATCAAAACTCTGCCTTCATAGTTGTATGGTAAGCACTTTAACTACTGAGTCATCTTCCTACTCCGATTTTACTTTTAAGATAAGGCCTTCTTATGTAGCACAGACAGGCTTCCAACTCAGTCATCCTGACTTGGCCTGCTGGAGTTCTGTTTTGTGAGACCACAATTGGGAATGATTATGGATAAAGGGAAAGGGATCCAGGCTGTCCCCTTTGCTGAGCAAATACTCTGTCCTTGAGTACTTTATTTATGCCCTCAGCCCTAAATAAAATTTTTGAAATAGTATTAATTACAAGGTAATTCCATTTTGGAATGTATTTTTCAAACACACACACCCAAAACAAAAAACATAATGGAGTTTACTCAACTTTCCTATTGACAACTTAAAAAGAATAATCAGTGAAGGGCTTTCATATTGATGATAATCATAATCACTGGTATATTATCATGAAGCTGCAATATCTTTCACTAAAAATAAAAGCACCTCAAAATTCCTAAATGTTGTTGTGAAACACTAAATTCTTTTCAGTGTTAACTAGGTATTTTACAATCTGAAGAGAAAGCTCTTAGTTCTTTCTTCTCTAAGAATCCCTTGTGCAGATTTTTGTCAAATATGATACATCCAAGACACAACTGTCCAGATTCCCAATACAACAAAGCAGATATTGTTGTGAAATATTCCTTTACACTGTGTGAAGATGTGTCACTGTGACTTTTTTAATAAAAAGCTAAATGGTCAATAACCAGACAAGAGATATAGGGGGAATTACTGGACAGAGAGAGCTCTGGGAAGAAGAAAGGCAGTTGCCAGCCAATGTGGAATAAGTAGGATGGGAATAATGGAGATGAGGTAACAAACGCATGGAAGAGCATAGATTACAGAATATGGGTTAATTTACATTATAAGAGTTAGTTAGAAACAAGCCTAAGCTAAGGAGCTTTCATAATTATTAAGAAGTCTCTGTGTGGTTATTTGGAAGCTGACAGGCAGGACAGAGAAAGACTGGTTACAAGATACATTGCAGGTTGATGAGCCTTCCGTTTCTACAATATGTAACTTAGCTAGTTCTGCTGCAGGCTTCTGAGCACATCTTGTTCCACCAATTTAAGCACAGGCTTCCAAAGATGGCAAACAACACTTCACTCCTTTCTTAAAGCTAAAATGTTTTAGTAAGACAAAGCTAATCCAGGTTAATCAGACAGATCTAGGGAATATAATTTAACGAAGTAGATACCAGGGTGTGGTGACACACTGCTGTAAGCTAACACTTGGGAGAGTGAGGGAGGAGGATCATAACTGCAGAGCAAAACCCTATCTCAAAAACAAAGCAACAAAAAGAGACTCAGTTTGCTCCCTATTACTATGATCAAACACTGTGACCCAAAGCAATCTAGGGGGAAAGGGTGTATTTCAGCTTACAGCTTGTAGTTTATCATCCAGTGATATCAGGGCAGGAAGCTGAATGCAGTACTCACAGGACATTTAAAAGTTTGCTTTGCATTAACTGCTCCTTCTTCATCTCAGTTATTTATACAAGCACGTGACAAAGCCTCTTCCACGAGAAGTCACAGATATTAAGAAGCGACTCTACTTCTTCAGTTATTACTCATTGGGGAAGAAATAGAGGCAATCCAACATGAAAGAAACTTTGGAAATAGGTGGGAAAATAAAATGTAGAAGTGTAACAATGAGCAAAGGGCTACCCATTAGAGATTGGCATTGGTACCAACCAATGGCTGACATAGTAAATGCATAAAACGGCATTTTTTGCAAAGAATACAATCTTGCTAAGTATCTCTTGCTTTGTGTAGGCCAAATGCTAGACACTGATCTACATGTCTCTGGCTCATCTTCCCAGAATTGAAAACTAGAACCTCCATCATCTCTATTCCAATCTTTTTATCAGACTTTCAAGATAATTGTTTCCTAATCCAGTTCATCTCTTTTAGCTACAGTATTTATTTATAATGATGACACTTGAATGAAAAAAATCATTTAATATCATAATAGGAAGTTATAAAAAATATAGGAACATTCCTGACATCTGTGTGTACCACAGCAATTGTAGGAAATGCAACCGACTCATAGAAAGGTTCTTGGCTTCCCTAAAACCTGATACTTCCCTCCAACCCCTCTAAGCTCAGCTCTATCTTACTCAGTTTACAGTTGACTTCTCTAATCTTTTGTTGCTGTTCTAGTTTTGTTTCTCTGTGTAGTCCTGGCTGTCCTTGAGGTCAAGAGAACCACCTGCCTCTGCCTCCACCACATGGTGAGCTTCTCTAATTTTAGACAGACCTTTCTCTTCTCATTTTAGCGGCTATTCAGGATAAACTAGTGATCGGCTAATAAGGAAAAGTGTTTACAATCAATAAGAAATTGTACTTGAAAATACTCTGAAACTTCCCTCTATAATCTGTGAAGCAAAGGGCTCTAATACCAAGTAAAGTCTTGCTGTGAAAGTTCCATCTCTTTAATGCCTTAAGCATGTGCGTGTGCAAAGTATGGAGTAACTCACGGGATGATCTCTACTTCCCAATTCAAACCTCTGAGCCTATGCCGAGTAATTTCAAGTGATATTTACCTGACACACTGTGTTGCTGGTAATTGTAGGAAGATGGGATTGCACCAATAGGAAGCTGTGGCTTTGGATTGCCTGGTGGTACCTCATCATCATCTTCCCCAAAATGGTGAACTTTCTCGTACTTTTCTAGATAACTGAAAGAGAAAAACAGCAGAGCAAAAAATGTTTAAATATGTATATGTATTATTTTAAAACTTCTACCACAGATTTTTTTTTTTGGATACCTAAGAATCTAAGTACCATTCACAATCATAGTGGTGACCTCAGCTCATCAGGAATACTGCTATAGGGCTGGAGAGATGGCTCAGCTGTTAAAGGCTAGGCTCACAATCAAAAATATAAGGAATACTGCTATAAACTCAATGCAACTTAAAATAGTTTCTCTTTACAGAAAAGATCTTACAATTCCATAAATAAAGTTATTTTAGCAACAGACAACTATCTGGCAATAAATAACAGTACCCTTTATGTATTGTTTTTATCAAGTTATAGTCACCCCAACAGCTGGTCTCAGATTGTAAGGCCACTATGTATGTATTGTATGGCCACTATGACCAAGAACAGTGAAACAAACAGGTTGGCTGGAGGACTAATGTCCTGGCTAGTTATATGTCAACTTGACACAAGCTAAAGTCATCTGAGATGAGGGAACCTCAATTAAGAAAATGCTTCCATAAGATGAGTCTGTAGTAGTGATTGATTGGCAAGGACTCAGCCCACTGTGAATAGAGTTACTCCTGGACAGGTGTCCCTGGGTTCTATTAGAAAGCAGGCTGAGCAAGCAATGGGGAGCAATGGGGAGTAAGCATTAAACAGCACCCCTCCATGGCCTCTCACCAGCTATTGCCCCCAGGTCCCTGCCCTGTTTGAGTTCCTGTCCTGACTTCCTTCAATGATGAAGAGTCATGAGGAAGTGTAGGCCGCATAAATCCTCCCTCACTTCCCCACCCCCGCACCAGTACTCCCCAAGAAAGGAAAAATATGTGGGAGTAATTGAAAGACAAGCTCTACAACTTAAAAGACAGACATGTTAAACCCCAGCTCCACCACTTCTGACAAAAAAGGTAATTCAGCAGACTTGAGTTTCAGAGACCAGGTCTCAAGTCTCAGTCAATACTGGAACTGTTGAAGTTGTGCTGAGTATAATGTGCTAACTGTATTGTAAAAGGCTGTTAGGTCACCACTGAGAAACAATGATAAAGGTAGATTCATATGGTAACAGTCAAGTTGTTATTGTAGTAGCAATAGCTATACTCATACCAAGATGGTTTGTGATAGTTCCAATGGCCAAATTAAAGAAATTCAACACTGTTGTCCTATATGAAGATAACTCTATTGAGTTCTATTTTCTGCAATGATATAATTGGTTTCTTTTAATAACTAGAGAAAACGGATTTTGGTTATATTACAAATTAATTTTTGTGTCTGGGGTTGAGTCATCAGAGTTTTCAACTTACTATTCCTTTACCAACTTTTTAGGGGGGAAATGATGTAATTAGAAAGGTATTTTAGGTACTTTGATCTGGCCTATAATCTTGATTCAAAGTGAAGATTTTCTTATTTAATTTTTAAAAGCTATAAAGTCACTGTAAACACAAATGAAAAAAAGATTCCCTGACCTTGAAGTCTATCACAGGCTCATGGAATATTCCAATATATTTCTGTGATATTTTTATTTATCAGCATATAATTGCAATGTACAATTTACCCAATTGATAGTAATTCAGTTCTTAAGTGACACATATAGGCTATTTTGTTTTACAGCTGCTATCACCAATCATGCTATACTTATGTATGTATGTATGTGTATGTACCATCTATTATATTCTTTATTTGTAGTGGTTCACAACCATCTGTAGGAACATACATGGTGGATAAATATGTATTCAGTCAACACACACATAACAAAATAAATCTTTTTTGAAAATTAACTACATGGAAAATTATCATTAGTTCATTTTCACCTTCTAGGTCTCTCTGAAAGTTAAGGGATGGTGCTTTCAGGGTCAACCTGTGTGTGCTAGGAAGATGCTCTACCACTGAGACACATCCCTGACGTCTTACAACAGTCAAATGTTCTGAAAAGTTATAAGCGATCAGTTAACATCTGAAAAACAAAAGCTTCTTCCCATATAATCTAGCCACACTTTTGAAACTGTACAAACAGGTAGAAGCAATACAAACAAAGTTTGTATACATACAATACATAACAAAATAGTGGCATTTTATTTCAAGAAACAGCTTTTCTTTGATATTATCTGAGTCTCAATGAAAAAAATTTAAAAATGACTGCAAAAACAATACTAATTTACTGCCTGGAGACATAAAGAAATTAAATTATCTCCTTCCGACGGGCATTGGTGGTACATGCCTTTAATCCCAGCACTTGGGGGAGTGGGGGGCAAAAGCAGGCAGATCTCTGTGATTTCGAGGCCAGCCTGGTCTACAGAGCCGGTTCCAGAAAAACCTCCAGAGCAATACACAGAAACCCTGCCTTGGGAATAAATAAATAAATAAATAAATAAATAAATAAATAAATAAATATTATCTCCTTCCACTCCTCCCAAATTCTCCATTTATGCTCAATTGGATCAGGAAACTTTCTAGCTTGGAAACAAGATCTTTACTGGTGCAGATACAGCACCGAAACTAAGAAATGAGCACAGGTAGAACATTTTCAATTTGATCCTGGGGATGTCCCAAGCAAGTAGATTTTGGTCTCAAAAAATAATGACTGAGAATGGATAGTCCCTTGTAGTACAAATGATCATAAATCAAGCCTATTCTCCATGATATCAACAAAGTTACTATACAAAGAAGAATATGCATAAATAATGTGGTGAAAAAAGAAATGCCTGGGCTGCTAAGGAAAGTGAGGATGGCATACTGACTTCTGACTAATTTTAGATACTAGATTTTAGATACTTTTGGCTGCAAGTCAAAAGTAAACTGAGATAAAACAGCAGTGAAAAGACCTGCAGGGCAAATGGATGGGCTGGTCAGTGTCAGAACACCCTTCTGTTGTCTCTCTTTACTCAGCTCCTACTTGGGACTATTAAATTTCAGTGAGAATATTATGACAGAATATAACCCAGCATGCCTTCTTTCACTTGGGTGCTGTGGTACCCTGTAAATGTTAGCATGTGTCAGGAAATACATCATGAATGAGTAAAAGTGATTTCAGTTCTAAGAAAGGACAATAAGAATCTTCTTTTATGTCTAGAAAGTTTAAAGGTCACGACCTTCAGGCTATTAAGTAGAAACAGACCCAACTCAAACAAAAACAACAAAATATAGGTTCTCCTGGAATGTTTGAAACACAGTAAACATGCAGACCCATCATCAGTATTATTATCAGCATTTCACCCTGTTCCTCCTCCTCTTGTCTTGCCTGTGTGAGCTGATTCATAATTACCTTGTTTAGTTCTAGTTTCATTCCTTTGACACTCATTAGTAGTTTTGTTGTATTACCTGTGTCATGGTTAGAATACAAATAGCCGGCATAGGCTCATATATTTGAATGGTAATTCACCAGGGAGTGGCACTATTTGAAAAGATTAGAAGGATAAGAAGATGTGGCCTAGTTGGAAGAAGTGTGTCACTGGGAGTGAACTTTGAGGTTTCAAAGGCCCAAGCCAGGCCTAGTCAGATAATGAAGACTGTCTTTGCCTACAAATTAGGTAGGATGTAGCACTCCAACACCTGCCTTCATGCAGTCATGTTCCCTGGATGATGATCATGGACTAATTCTGAAACTATAAGCAAGTCGCCAATTAAATGCTTTCTCTTCTAAGAGTTGCCTTGGTCACAGTGTCTCTTTATAGCAATTGAACAGTGACTAAGATATCCTGTTGCTGTGGAATAAACCTTTTGTACACTGTTAAGATGAGTCACTCTAATTGGTTTAATAAAAAGCTGAACCACCAATAGCTAGGCAGGATGTCCTGGAATAGAGAACACTGGGAGGAAGAAAGGGAGACACCAGGAACACAGAGCAAGCAGGATGGGCACTACAGGGATGAGGCAATAAAGCCATGAGACAGAAAGTAAATTAGTAGAAATGGGTTAATTTAAGTTATAAGAGAAAGTTAGATACAAGCCTAAGCTATTGGCTGAACTTTCATAATTAATTAGAATTCTATACATCATTATTGGGGAACTGACAGTCCTGATGAAAAATCCTCTTATACCTTGTAATTTTTGCTTTTATTTTAATACTTCTTTATTAGTTACCAATAAAAAGATAATTTTTGACAACTATATCCAAAGTATTCGCCTGTTATGGAAGGAGTTCTATAGTCATCATTAATATATGATTTCAATAGTTGTTTCCCTAACAAATAAATCTTCTAGAAATATAATAGTCTTAATAATTTTTTTAATTTGCATTGGTGTTGTGGCTACATGTATATTTGCGTGGGGGGTGTCAGATCTTGGAGTTACAGACAGGTATGAGCTGCCATGTGGGTACTGAGAATTAAACCTAGACTCTCTGCAAGAGCAGTCAGTACTCTTAACCACTAAGACATCTCTCCAGTACCTAGTATGTATTTTTTTTTAAGTTAATACTATAGATTACTTTTGTGAACAGTCTCACTGGGGATCTTATCTTTCAAAATAAGAAAGTTCTTATTAAACCACAAATATGGAAGGCAAAACCAACATATCAATAACAAAAATACCAGGAAGCCTTGAAATTACGCTCTACAAGCTCTGAAAGCCAGTAATTACAACATAGACTATTATATCCAACAAAATTACGTCTCACAAATGAAAGAGAGAAGTTTCCACAATAAAAACAAGGTTAAAAGAAAAATGTAGGGCCTCTAATCTGGCTCTACAGAAGACAACCAAATGAATCCTTTATATTGGAAAGAAAGGTAAATACATCTATGAAGCAGGAAAAATAAACCATGATAAAGCAAACATGGAATAGGAATAGGAAAACAAAAAAGAACATTAAAAATTAACAATATGACAGGAATGAATGTATCTCTTTCAGAAACAATTCTACGAAGCTAACGTAATAGCCTACACTTACAGAAACCCACTTAACACAACCGAGTATTAATGGTCTCTATTTTATAATCCAATAATAAAGAATACAAAAGAAAAAAAACTAAAAGAATTAATG